AACCTTACCGACTGTTGGATCATCTGGATGATTGCCAGCTTTATTTCAAATGTGTTGGCTTGGACTGTTGGTCTCGTAATGCTCGAACCATTGCCATTAACCGTGGGAACTGAAAATTCCTTTAGTGTCCTATTTTCTGGTTCTACCATTTCAACAGCTATTTTTTCTGTTTCAACCACTATGTCCTCTCTTTCTCTTTTTTCTCTGTTAAGTCGTCTGGCAGTTCTCTCAATCTCAAGATCAACAGGAACCACTGGCTGACATCTCGCTCTTCGCATAAACTACACAAAACAAAACGAAAGAAAGTGAGATCACAAACCAACTGAAAATTGAAAACAAAAATTAAAACTTCAATCCAGCTAACTATAGAAAAACTCAATGTTAACTTAAAACTCAATCCCTGGCAACGGCGCCAAAAACTTGATGCGTGTTTACTACAACATGCAAAAATAGCAAGTGCACTAATCGCGCAAAGTAATAGAGTGATGAGTGAATATCATTCCCACGAGGATTGTTGCTAAGCACTAAGTTTTCTACCGTTTTCAAGTTGAAGCAATCGAATTCTTTTGGATTTAAGGGAGCAATTTAAACTATAACTAAAACAAAATTTTACTAAAATAAAATTTTACTATGAAAGCAAGATTTAAAACGGGATAAAATCAATTCAAACAAACGGGTAGGGTTTTGACTTCATTCGGACTCTATGGGTTAAACCTAAAGAATCAAACTAAATTCATATTCACATGCATTGATTGTAAATTGAACTCTCTAAGGTGTCCAACATACCTTCTCAAGCTATGTTTTCCTACTCTTCCCTATTAACCTTCCGTACCCAACAAATTGAAAGTTAATTAATAAATCTAAGCTCATTAAGCACAAGAATCCTATATTGATTTCATTGGTTCTTGAATCTATCTCTAGCATCCAATAATACAATGGTGATTACCCAAAAAGCTTAACATGAATTATCTCTCAATCTTCATCATGTTCATCACATAAAAACAATAAATACAGAATAACCACACAATCAAAGCAAAATCATATGAAATTAATAATCATCAACTCTCTAACTCATAAGAATCTGAACTACATCAAAACCCTAACCCAAAATAAGTTAGTTCATGGCTAAATCGATCAAACAATTAAAAGAAACAAAAAATTCCAAGTTCAACATCATGGACACAAGAGAAAAGGAAAAGAATCTTCCCAATTGACGAATCCACTGATTTCACCTCGAATCTTCACACTTTGTTTAATCCAAAAATCACTCAAATATTAATCTAAGAAAATGTAAAACTGCTCTCTATTTCTCCACGAACGCCTTAAACAAAAGACTAAGTATCTCTTTTATACCTCGCTCAAAATCTTAAAACTTAGCCTAATAAAGAAACTGTGCGTTTTACAAAAACTGGAGAACGCAGACTTCAACGCGGCGAAGAAGGAATCTCGCCGCAGCGACAAAGGAGCTGAATCTGGTGCGTCACTGGCCCATTTCGCCGCGGCGAAGCTTCCTGAAGAATTCTAAAATTACAGAATTGCCCTAAGCTTGCTTGTGAGTCCAGAAACTCCAAATCTGTCTTTATTCGCTCAAAATGTCCATTTTAACTTGAAACACGAAATGTAAGGAATTAAGTAGCAATTCAGGCAAAAATAGACTAAGAAATATCTAAAATCCGGCCTAAAAGCTTAAATAAACTAGCATAATCCTCGGATTATTAGTTAGCGACCAGCTTGGGGATGTTGAGGTTGCACCTCCGAGACCTGGGGATGAAGGCCAATGATTGCCTCTGCTTTTCTTATGCTCGCTAATATGTACTTTTTTATTTTTTGATAAATAAAGAGACCATTTCCTTAATCATTTGTGAGTACTCATAATTTAACGTACCCCACAAACATTACATATGCAGACACGAGGTCGATTTCTAACTGTTTACAATAGTATTTGTACGGTAATATCTATGCGAACAGAACTATATACACGTGGGAAAAGATACTACAAAAGAACTTGTGTTATTTACAAGTCTTGAGAAAAGTAAAGTCTTTACAGGAGAATTACAAAATGAGTTCGGAATTACTGATAATATGGGCAGAGATGTTCAGCATTCCAAGCTCGCAGTACTTCGGAACCATTTAGCCTTTTGAGGTGATAAGTGCGCGGTCTTATTATTTTGGCGATGTGGTACAGGCCTTCCCAATTCGGCCCCAATACTCCTGTACTCAGTTCTCACGTATCGAGAAGGACTTCCTTCCTTCAAAACAAGGTCACCGACCTGGAAGTCTCTTTTTCTAACCTTAGAGTCGAAGAACCTTTTCGCGCACTGTTGATAGGTTGATATTCTTAGCTGAGCCTTGTTGCGATGTTCTTCAACTAAATCCAAACTTGAGCGCATAAGCGCTTCATTGTCTGCTTCGTTGAACAGGTTTCTTCGAAGTGAACCAGTTCCTACCTCCACAGGGATCATCACCTCACAGCCATATGCTAGCGAGAAAGGTGTTTCTGAGATAGAGGTTCTTGGAGTTGTCATGTATGCCCATAGGACTTCAAGGAGGTCGTCAACCCAATTACCCTTGGTAGCGTCAAGTTTGGCTTTCAAAGTGTGCTTGATGGTCTTGTTGACAGCTTCAACCTAACCATTTGCTTGCGGTCTTGTGACTGAGACGAAATTTTTGTGGATTCCCAACTCGTCGCAAAACTGCTTGAATTCCTCGTTATCGAACTGCTTCCCATTATTAGAGATAAGGGTATAAGGAATTCCATAACGGCACACTATGTTTTTAAAAACAAAGTCCTTGAGCTTTTTGGTAGTGACTGTGGTCAGAGGTTCAGCCTCGACACACTTGGTGAAGTAATCCACTACAACCATCGCATACTTGACTCCTCCTTTGCCAACTGGCATGGGTCCAATAAGATCGATTCCCTACATGGAGAATGGTCAGGGGCTGGTCATGGTTACCAGTTGGTAGGAAGGAGCTCGCAGTATGTTCGCGAACCGCTGGCACTTGTCACACTTTTTAACAAAGTTGTAGGTGTCTTCTTGGAGTAGAGGCCAGTAACTATTCGCCAATTGTTGATGCTAGATTTTGACACCAACTATTCGCACATGGGAAATGCTGAGCGGACTCAGAAGTTACACGTGAGTATGGGGGTGTTTAAATGAATAAGGGGTGAAAAACAATGTTTAAAGTGGTTCGAATGCCCAAAAAGCAAATCTTACGTCCACTGGTATTGTATTAATGTATGAAGTCAGGTCACGTTCAGCGAGCTGAATTATAGCTTGGAGAATACAAGAGGGAGAGAGAGAGAGAGAGAGAGAGAGAGAATATGCTATTTCAGAGTAAAATTAGCCAATCCCACAAACGGGAGAGGAGCCTTCTATTTATAGTGGGATGAATTAAGGTAATGATTACTACTAAATATATGAGTGGGGCAGATGCCATGCAAATCCTTCTCTGCGTCCCATTGCTCACCTGCCCGAGTGATTTCCTCGACTTGTACAGAGATTGGACACGTGGACCTTTTCTAGCCTTTCGCCAACCTGGCGCATACCCACTGCACTGACAAGAGCATGCTGCTCACGTCATCACACGACATGGCTGCATCTGAGCGGTTGTAAAACCTTCTCAAGCTCTGACTGGTCTTGCTGACAAGGCTCGACGTCAACCCTACTTTCTCAAGCATAACAACAATAGATAGTGATATTACATCATATATATGATGATTAACATGGGCTGCGAGGTCCCACTCCTATTGTTGGAACTTGATAAGTTTTTGGCTTTATTGCATCCCAGATTTGAGTGATTTGGGAGGTGGTGTTAGGTCTGCAAAGATGGTTTTGTTTAGTTGGTGTCTTATATTTAGTTTGTGGGTTTGTGATCGGTAAACGGCATTTAGCGGAAGCGTTAAAGCGAAGCTTTGGCCGATTAAAAAACAAAAAAAGAACTTGTTCGTTGAGAGATTTTTATCTTATCTTGTTAGTCGATTTGATTTTGAGAAACATTTTGTCACTACTAGAAAACAATTCTTTTAAGATGGTATTTTCAGACTAGATTACAACGGATTTCATTGTTATATTAGGGTTTGGCTCTTGATATCCCCTTTTTCTCTGATCCTAGGTTGATCCATCTCAGGGAATTCAGAGTCATGAGGTCTTAGTGACAAAGTGAAATCTGGTAGTTCTGGTGTTTGAAGAGCCCCGCATCATTGAAAATGATGCAATGTAACATAAATATCAAGTTTTCATATTTTCTGGAAAGAATTTATCTATGAGCCAGAGAGAGTACAATGAACTAAAATTAAATAGAAAATACAGTAGTAGACACTTACATCTGAGACTTCCTTGATGCAACATCTGGTATTTTTTTATGCAAATGGTTTATAGCGCCTCAGAGTGAAAGAGATGTTGACAAAGCAAAAACAAATTTTGACACTTTTTGTGATATCATTGTTGATCCAACGATGATAAGAGATGTTGAGTTAGTATTAAATTATCTTTAACTGCCACTATTACCGTTGGATTAATAATGATGAATTGTTCAAGCTTCTTATAATTAATTACTATATAAATATTATAATTATTAATATAAATAATTTAAAATAATAATTAGTAAAATTAAGATGATGAAAATGGTATTCAATATTTTATAATTTTAAAAAAAAAAAATTAATACTGGACTGTGGTCTCTTAACAAAAGCTTTAAATTAAATAAATTTTATATTTTTATTTATAATACTGGATTAATTATGAAATTGGATTTGTTAAATAAAATATTGAATTACTAAACGGGCCGAAAGAGTCAGAGCCGAAGAAGCTGATTGGGCCAGGCCACACATGGAAAGCAGGACAGTTTGTGTAGTCCATATGATTCACTAAAAACATCCCATTTGTACTACTTGTACTGAAACTCCAAACTCAAATAATACCAATCTAGTACTACCATTATTTTGCTTTCTTTCTCTTCCTTATTGTACTACATAATGTAAACCGATTTTCAGAATAATAAAAATAAATATTTCGTTATATTGATTTCATGATGTTTGCGATTGATTTATATATACATAGCAGTAATAGCCATGGGGTGAAAGAAAATAATACGTTGAAATTACATGGAAAAGCATGAGTTGCTGCTACTTCTAAGAGTAGTCACTTTAACTACGGGGGCATTTTTGGAGTAACGAACAGTTTCCCATCTTCTGCGAGCAGCTGGTCTTGGGAGATTCTCAGGCACAATAGTCTCTAGCGAATTGAGATGCCATGGCGGACACATTCTTTTATCACTCCATCTTGGAACCTTATTGTTTTGTTGTTCTGAATCTGCAACTTCTTCAATGACTAATGGTAACCTCATGTCTTGTTGGGCAAGAGCAATACTTGTGTCTTCTAAACTTCCCATTTCTATTCCGATTATCATGCAGCACGCCATGCCCACCACGCACGCCTTTCTCCACTTCTCATTCTTCACGCCATGCCTGCACACATAAAATTAAAAATATTTTAACAAGTTGAAGAGGGAGATGGTGATGATGCTGATGAAGATTGTTAATGGTTGATTATATATTACCGTGGAAGTTGAGTTGGTTTTGAAGGGAGAGACGGGGGATTAGAGAGATGGAGGCAGCAATTAGTTGTTATAATGGCCATGAAGATTCTGATCTCTGACTCTATTAATATAAATTAACTTCCTATGCGTATATATATATATACAGAGAGCAGAGAGTGGTTGGTCAGATTACGGTAGTTGATGAAGAGGACCTGAACGGTGGCCGTTTGTGAGTTGAAACCTCCAATTACGGCACCTGTTTGCTATTGCTGGCCGTCTCTTGCCACATTTTTCTCTTTGGGGACGCGTGTTGGAAATGCCTTTCTGTTGAGTGTCGAATCGATCATATACACATGTCCATTATGTACTACTGTACTCCACCTGACAAACCAACGATATTTTTCTAATTATTTATCTACTATTATTCTATTTCTTTTTTTTTTTAAATCTAATTTATTAAGATAAATATTTAAAGTTTACTTAGATTTAAATTTAAGCACGTGCTGATGTGATCACATGCGAAAGATNTTCATAAATTCTTTAATTGTCTCAATATACTTCAATTTAATCACAAATGGGGTATTTTTATCACCAAAATAGAGTCACTTTCATGACTCTAACATAAGTCTATAGCAGTACAGTCCCCAGTCTATAACAAAGGATGTATGCTCTTTGTCCGATGCGTACATTGAAATTTGATTGTATCCCGAGTATGCGTCCATAAAACTCAGCAGCTCGTGCCCTGAGGTGGCATCCACGAGCTGGTCGATCCTTGGCAAGGGAAAGCTATCTTTAGGGCAAGCCTTGTTGAGGTCGGTGAAGTCAACGCAGGTTCGCTATTTACCGTTAGGCTTCTTTACTAGGACCGGGTTGGCAACCCAGGTCGGGTAAAGCACTTCTTGGATGGATCCACTCCGAAGGAGGTTATCTACCTCAAGTTTCAAGGCAGCATATCGCTCTGGATCCATCGCTCTTCTCTTTTGACAAACTAGCTTGGCTTCACTGTTGATGTTCAACGCATGGCAAACAATATATGGGCTGATCCCGACCATATCTGCATGCGACCATGCAAACACATCGATGTTCTCCCTGAGAAAGCTAGTCAGGTCGCTTGCGAGCTGGGGGTTCAGATTGTTCCCAATCCTTAACACCCTGCTTAGTTCATTCTGGTCGACCTGCTCGGTTCGTTCTAGTCAACCAGTACTTCGGAAGGGCATTCCTGAATTTGAGGATCCATATTATCCTCGGCTAGGCCAGGCTGTGGCTCGATCCGGCTGATCGTCATCGCCTGTCTGGGAATGCCGCACGAGATGTCTTTCCCTTTGCACGCCATTAGCACTGCCTTCATATAATAGTCGCGAGATGTGCGCTGTGATCCGCTGACTTCCCCTATCCCTGTCGGGGTGGGGAACTTCATCTTCAGATGGTATATTGAAGTGACTGCCTTGAAGTTTCTCAACAAAGGTCGCCCGAGGATTCCATTAAAAGTGGATGGGCAATCCACTATCAGGAACTCCGTTACCTTGGTCACTTCATCAAAATCACCCAGTGTGACTGGGAGTGAGATCGTTCCTTTGGGGATCAGGTGGTCCCCTGTAAAACCATATAAAGGGAACGAGGCAGGCTTCAGGTCGGCCTCGTCCAAGTTCATTCTTTCGAAAGTTGAAGCAAACAGGATGTTCACAGCACTTCTGTTATCCACCAACATTCTGTGGATGTTGTGGTGCCCTATGAGGGGCATGATCACAAGGGCATCGTCGTGGGGATGATGCAATCGAGCTACATCCTTTAAGGAGAAGGAAATTTCCTCCTCCCTGTGAACCTTTTGTGGTCGTTGCGTCGCACTCATCACTTTAATAGGGTCATGGTGGGCTTCGCGAGCATACCTTTCCTGGGCATCTCACGAGTTCCCCACAAAGTGCGATCCCTCGAAGATCAAATTGAGGGTGCACACCCATTTGCGATCACGACGTTTCTTACTTGATTCCCTCTTATTTTTCTCTTGTGAGGGAGTTGAGTTGTCAATATATTCCTTGAAGTGTCCCTGCTTAATGAGGTCTTCGATCGCCTACTTGAGAGCTCGGCACTCATTGGTATGGTGCCCATTATCTCGATGATAGCGATAGTATTTTTTACTGTTCCTGGCCGATGGGGGATTTTTCATGGGCTCAGGTTCTCCGAGCAGGCTAGCCTCTTCTGATTTGTCAAGAATAGCCGATACGGACGCATTCAAGGGCGTATATTGGTTCCTATCGCGATCACAACGAGGAACTGGGGCATAAGACTTTTTGGGCTCATAGCGCGGCTTCTTTTCTTTTCGTTGATCGTCAGGGCCCATCTACGATCAACTCTCCTACTTCCCTCCCGACCAGGCGCACTATCTGAGGTGTCGTAGTCGCGGCGGTGGAGCGCCGCTACTGAATTTTCAATACGAAGGTGCTTCTCTGCAAGGTTGTAAAAATGGGTGAGGGAAACATCATCCTCAGCCTGTAGCTCTTTCCATAGGTCGGTCTGTGGACGAACTCCTGTAATGATGAGAGTCCGAACAGACTCCTCAAGAGTATGAGCTACTTTGTTGAGTTCTCTGTGGAATCGATCTATGTACGATTGGAGGGATTCGTCCCTCTCTTGCCTTATATTGCTGAGGTAGCTCAAAGGCATTGAGAACTTTCTGTTCGCTTGGAAGTGCCTGAGGAACGTCGTGCTCATGTCGAAGAAAATGGAGACACCGATACGACCTGCCCTTGCTCGTACTGCTAGGCCTTTAGTTAGTCTAGAGCTCGCTGCAGCTCTCGATCTGGGGCATTGGAGCCATCTGGGGATTGCTTTTGCCCATACGGGTTTGACCCTCGCGGTGGCGATTGAGGAAAGTCTGAAGGTCAGACTCCACTTCGCCTCGGCCAACTGTTCTGGCTGCTCTTGACACACGCTAGCTAGAGCTGTGTGATGGCGATGAACGGTGCGGGGAATTTTCACGACCTCCACTGTGGTACGAACGGGGGAACCTTCTGCATGGCTGCGATCAAGATTGCTCTAACGGTGATGAGAATCGCCCCGCCCATCACTTTTGTGGGGTTTTTCACGCGAAGTGGCATGGGATGGTTTGAGCTGTACCCTTTCACCGAGTCGCAACGTTACGGGTATTCTACTCGGGATGTGGTCGGTGTTCGCTGGACCTTTAGAGTTCTTAGGCCCATTTTTCGCCACTTGCTTACCCTTTCTTAAACGCGTAGCAGTGCTCGCGGCACGGGCTATCGCCCTTTGCCGTGCTTTCGCGCAACCCGTAAGCGTTTTTGGTGGTTGCACCGCTTCATTCAATCTAGGTGGTACACCCTGGTGCAAACGGTCTAATCTTTGCGTGACCGTTTGGAGAGTATTGTTGAACCTCTCCAGGTAGCTTAGGATGGCGGGGTCAAGTTGTGAACTTGACGGGATATCTCCCGCGGTGGTCTGCGAGACCGAGGGTACCCCGGGAGAGGTGCCCTCCTGCATTTGGGGGATCCCCTCAGTACTCTGGTTGGTTCGCTCTGGTTCAAATCGGCGAGCCATTTGCTGTTGTGGGACCGGTAAGTTAGAGATTCTCCTGATGAAGGATGAACACTAAATCAAGCCCTCCTTCTAGCATCAAACTGTTGATGCTTGATTTTGACACCAACCAAACGCACGTGTGAACTACTGAGCTGGCCTAGAAGACACACGTGAATGATAAAAAGAGGATAAAAGAGTGACAAGACAGTGTTTAAAGTGGTTCGGATGCTTTAAAGATGCAAATCCTACGTCCACTGATGTATATTAATGATAGCCACCTGGTCGCGGTAAGCGAGCTGACTTTACAAGTGATTTTACAAGAGAGAGAGGGATACAGTATATGCTGTTTCTTTGAGAGATTAGCTAATCCCGAAATTGAGAGAGGAACTCTCAATTTATAGTGGGATGCATTAAGGTGATGATTGCTGAATTTGTGAGTTGGTGGGATTATCCGTACAAATCTTCCTTTATGTCCTATTGCCCGTTTTCCAGAGTGATTTGCGCAATTTGGTGCATGCAATTGGACACGTGTAAGCTCTTCAGCTCTTGGCTGGTCTGGCACGCGTCCACTACACTGACAGAAGCAGGCTGCTCCTTCATCACGTGACTCGGCTGTAGTTTTCGCAGGTTTTGACTTTTGCATGCTGACTCGGTCTACGTCAGCCCTTCTTTCTTAAGGCATAACATAACCTTAGGCAAATTAATTAAGAACACCATCTCCTAAAAGTTGATTAATTATTAATTATGGAAAATTTTCTGTAATGTTTTCTTTTCAAAAAGTTATATGATACAACTTTGATAAGGTAAGAAACAATTATTTTGGTTTTACTTTTTGAATAACATAATACATAAAATTAATTAATTAGAACATAAATGTGCTGCAATAGTATCATAGATACGTTAATGATCGTCGAAAATTGTATATGTATTTAGTGGATAGGTTTTTTGTTCTGGTCGTGTTTGATAAGCATTTTGGCGAACTGTAACCAAAACATTGCTTGATATTTAAATATTTTTTAATCATCCCAAAAAAATTTCAGAGAATTTAGCCCTCTCTTTCCTCAGAGGGGACAAGCAGATTCTCTTTATTGACAAAAGAGATTAGCGTGTGGAAAATAAAGGATAAAATTCAATTCATTCATTTTTACCTCTAAAGTTTGTCGGATATAATGAAAAAGTGACACTTAAGTCCTTACTAGTTATCAACTATTACAATTCGCAATAGTTACAAAACAAACGATTAGGCACATTTGTGAACCGCACCTTTTGTTTATAAATAAATAAATAATTTGAAAATGTTATGGAATAAAGTGCAAACCACTTTCTCTCTCAAGAGTTGGGACTTGGGCACATGGGCACATGGGGAACCATCTCCACCCTTGGCCTTACGCAGGGTGAAGGGTTTAACAGTAATTAACAAAAGCATATTTTAGTTTGGAAGCTACGACCCTACAACCTGTCTCTCTTTATGAATTTTCTCGGTTCTCTGACAATTCAAACGATAAGGTTTTAATGGTTTATGTGGACAGACTTAATTCATTAGTCTATTTCACACCAGCTGTATACAACTAAGTTATACGGAGTCTCTGTCTCTACCATCGTTCAATTCTTATCGTCAACTCCCAAAAGAGGTAGTCAACAAAACCATCGTGTCCAACCCACTGGTTTCTTAACACAACAATCAAACATTTTATACTTGATCATACATCTTAACAATTAAGATGGAGTGAACAACAAAAAGCTTACGAGATATGGCAGAGTTTACTGTGAACCTTGCTATAGAAACATTGGGTTCCTTGGTTGTCCGGGAAACCAAGCTGTTGAGAAGTGTAAAGAAAAAAGTTGAAAGCATCAAAGAAGAATTGGAGATCATCAGATCTTTCCTCAGGGATGCAGATACAAAAGCAGCGGCCGAAGAAGAAGGAGGAAGCAATGGAGGTGTCGTAAGTACTTGGGTAAAACAAGTAAGGGAACAAGCTTATCACATTGAAGACGTCATAGATGAGTACATACTTAATGAGGCGAAGCATCATGAACAAGATGGCAAAGGTCTCACTGGTTTCCTTCGTAAAATGTGTTGCTTCATGAATGAACTTAAGGTGCGTCATGGAATTTCATCTGAGATTCAACATATCAAATCATCACTTTCTGATATACGGACAAGAGCAGGAGACTATAACTTGAAGCAGATAGATCAAGGAGATGTTGTACCGCACGACTCTCGAGTTGGTTCCTTTTTCATCCCAGGCGCTGAAGTTGTGGGCATCGAATCTACTATAGACCAATTGATTGGTTTGTTGGTAAGTGGAACATCCAATCGTTCAGTGGTTGCAGTTGTGGGCGAAGGAGGACTTGGCAAGACCACTCTTGCTGGGAAAATTTATAAGGATGATAGAGTGAAGAAGCATTTCGATTGCCAAGCTTGGATCACGGTTGGGAAAGCATGCACCAAAATGGATATACTAAGGAAAACTATACAACAGTTTGAGGGTGTGACAAGGTATACTCATGGAGAAATGGACAAAATGGAAGAGAAAGATCTCCTCACCACACTGCAGACACAATTAAAAGACAAGTGTTACATGGTTGTTTTTGATGATGTGTGGAAAAATGATTTTTGGGGTAATATAGAGCATGCTTTAATAAAGAACAACAAAAGCAGTAGGATTATGCTCACAACCAGAAACAGGGGCATTGCTGATTTGATTCCCTTTGTTAATGTCCATAGGCTACAACCCTTGCCTTCAGATAAGGCGTTCAAACTTTTTAGTACAAAGGCTTTTGGTCCTCAGGGGTGTTGTCCCCCCGAGTTGGAGAAACTGTCTCGTGACATCCTTCGGAAATGTGGAGGTTTACCACTAGCAATTGTTGCCGTAGGTGGTCTTCTCTCAAACAAGATCAATGTTGCTTTTGAATGGAAAAAGTTACTTGAGGACTTGGGGTCACAGTTGGGAAGCAATTCTCACCTAGACGATTGCAACAAAGTTTTATTAGAAGGTTATTGTGGTCTACCTCACCATCTCAAATCTTGTCTCTTGTACTTTGGTTTTTTTCCAGAAAGCTACCCAATCAATTGTGCAAGACTGATTCGCCTATGGATTGCTGAGGGCTTTGTCCCTTATTCCAAACGCCACACTTCTGAACAAGTTGCTGGAGAATGTTTGGCTGATCTCATTAACAGAAGCTTGGTTCAAGTGGTGGAGACGGATTTCATGGGAAGACCTAGATATTGTCGAGTCCATGATCTGATGCATGAGATTATCCTAAGAAAGACCGAATATTTGGGCTTCTCTCATTTGATGAACAGAGAACACTCAAATCCCTCTAGCAAAATTCGGCGCATTTCAATACAAGCAAGTGCTGATAGTGTTCTTGAGAGCATCAAGGACTCAAAGATACGTTCTGTTTCTCTTTTCAATGTTGATAGGATGCCTAACTCTTTCATGACTACACTTGTTGTGGATTTCAAACTTATAAAAGTACTTGAATTTGAAGATAGTCCTATAGAGTATCTTCCTGAAGGAGTGGGAAACCTCTTCCACTTGCATTACTTAAGTTTGAAAAATACAAAAGTAGAAGTACTTCCCAAGTCCATTGGTAAGCTTCTCAACTTGGAGACCTTGAATTTGAAGCGTACTCTTGTCACTGAGCTTCCTGTTGAGATCAAGAATCTTAAGAAGTTGCGTTATCTATTGATATACCGTGTGGGCAGTAGTGGTCGTTACGAAGAGGTAAAAGTACCTATGGGGTTTGGCTCTTTATTGGATCTGCAGAAGCTAGGTTATGTGGAAGCTAACTGGGAAGTACTCAAAGAGCTTAGGAAGCTAAGGCATCTGAGAAAGTTAGGAATTAAGATCACAAATGGAAACGAGAAGGATCTATGTGCTTGCATTGGATATTTGGAAAAACTTATATCTCTGAGTCTTAGGTTGGCAAGTAGAGAAGAAATTCTTGATATAGAATCGATGACTTCTCCTCCTCATGGTCTTCAAAGCCTCTTCTTAAGAGGAAATATGAAGAAGCTGCCAGATTGGATTTTTAATCTTGAATATATTGTCAGAATTGGTTTAGATTTGTCAGGATTGACTGATGATCCCATGAGAGTCCTTCAAGCCATGCCTAATTTATTGGAGCTTAGGCTATGGGACACATGCCATGATAAGCAATTACATTTCAAAGAAGATTGGTTTCCAAAACTAAAAATTTTGCTACTCTTTGACTTTGAAGGAGTGGAATCGATGATTATAGACAAAGGTGCAATGCCCAACCTTGAAAAGTTAAATGTGGGACCATGGCCTCAATTGAAAGAGTTTCCAATTGGAATTGAACATCTAAGAAACCTAAAGTTTCTTGAGTTTAATTCTATGTTGAAAAAAATTTATTATATGATGGAGGACGAGAAGTGGAAGAAAGTTACCCGACATATACCGAAAGTCTATGTCACTTACAAAATGGAAGGAAAAGTGTTTTATACCACTGCTAAGTATCTCTCGTCTATCTCGCCTGTGAATTTTGAGCAATATATTGAAAAAGTGGAGCGAAGTAACGAGTCCTCTCATTCGTGAACAACAGGCATTCCATTTAAATTATGTAAGACTAAGAGTAATTTAGATTATATATCTTCTTGACTTAGGGTATGTTTTGACTTTTCATTTAATATAAAAAAGTATAATTTTGTAATTTACTTCTAAAATCTGATTTTTTTTTTTTTTTTTTATATATAAATACACAAGTCTAATTATCATAATAAATGTAAACTTAAATAAAAGTATTCTTATAATTTATTTTATTTAAAACATTTTTTTTTTAAATTACCTTAATTAATTGATTAAGTTCCGGTTGCGATTTCTAACATATATTGATGCTTTAGAACTGAATATCAAGTGAAATATGATTTTTTGTTATCCTATAAATAACTAAGGTTTATGTTTTTTCTATTACCATGAACAGAAGATGTATCTTGAACTGTGAGAAGGTCATGATTAAATCAGCATCCACCTGAATAAACCAGGTAATCCCAAGATTTTATGTAACTCTTTCTTATGAATGGTGTAGTATTGGTGGCGATATCTGGCAATGTGTGATTGTTGTATAGTCCAGGTAATGCTAGTAGAGATAAGTTATTACTTGTAGTTCATCAATTTCCTTGTGAAATATGTAAAATACATTTTATTTGCTGATGTTATTGCAATGGTTGTTTAATTCGGCTCTCTTGATTAACCATGATTCCATTTATTTGGTCAGCTTTACTCTATGAACCTGCATGTACTTGATTTAATTGTTTTGTGTTATGAGTTTTGCCTATTCCCTCTTCTTTTTGTTGGTTTAAACCTTTGTGGAAAGCTTCGACAATCAAAAACAGTCTCCCCTGTTTTCCTCTATTCCTTTTTAAAAAGGTCCTCACAAATTTCTCCCATCCACATCTTTCATTTCGAGCATCTTCTTATTTGAGACGGCTTGCCAGATGTGATAGACGTGTACCTGCTGTTATTTCTCTCGAGCAGTAAATGCCAATTTTTTTTTTAAAAAGCATGTTCTGATGGTAATGTTATGAGACTTTTGAACCACAATTATTTGAAGAAACTTGTCATATCTCCAGTGATCATGCGCTGTTACTCGTTCAATCATCTTCTCGTTTAGGATGGAAAACGCCAGATATGGTGAATGCCAGATGGTTATAGTAGCTAAATGTAATGATTTGAAGTATCATGGATTCATGGGGAGATTAGCAATTTGCATGCACAGAAACCAAAACTTCAATCCAAACAACTTTTAGTCTGAATTTCAGATTGAAAAACTATCCCCATATATTAGGGAACAAATGAATTAGCTAAGCTCTTTCCCATATCTATGCTCTGATCATCTGGAGGTCTGAATCCATCTACCATATCAATTGAGGGAAGAAGCTTTCCGGATTGAAGATGCCATCCCTAAGTACACAATGAAGGTGGCGAGACTTCCTCATTGTAGAGGTCTCGTTGATTACTGTCATAAAGCGTGCCATTTCAAAGAGATTCCAAAAACTGCGACATGGAATCGCCATTGAGATTGAAGATATCAAACTATCACTTGCCGAAATACAACGAAAAGGAGAAATCTACAGCTGACTTAGAAATGTTGGTCCATTGAGTCTTTGAGATCAGGAGTTCTATAGGCCCCCCTGATAATTTTTCTCTCTCCTCTCTTTTCTCTTTCATTTTTCATTCTCTTCAAAACTTTCTTTCTGTCTTTTCTTCTGTGAATTCTTCTCTTCTTTCTCTTTGTTCCACCACTTCACTTAGCTGCCGCAAGGCCCACCAGCTCCCCCTTAACCTCATCGTCAAACACCACCCACCCCCTCCGACCACCACCCACCGAATCGACGACCACCGCCTTTAGTCGAATCCGCGCGCTTCGAGCCATTTTTCTGGTTGCTCCCGACGTTAGAAATCCACCCCATCATTACCAAAAGCTTCACCGGCATCCCCCCTAATAATCCCCCTAACTATCGCAACCTTAGTTACCCGCCGTTAGCCGTCCGTCAACTGCCTTGCGGTTTTTTGCAACTTTGGTGAAATTGGGTTAATTGGTGGTTGATTTTGGGTTTTTACAAAGAGTTTGTGTATTTTGGTTGACTGGAGTTTGATTGTGCTTGAATTTGAATAGTTTGTGTTGAGCTGTTGATTTGGGTTGGATTGAATTTGGGTGTTAAAGTTTTGAATATTTGCAGTTTTTTGGCACACCACCTGTTCGACCAAATTCCCCAGCCAACTCTCTTAAGCCCCAGCAAGCCAGTGATTGTGGATTTGATTTAAATTATTTTCTATTATCTTTTTTTTTTTTTTTTCCGGTTCCGGTTCCTAAAGTGGTGGAACCAGAACCGGAGACACATTGCTGGTTCCACCAGATTTAGAACCGCAACCGACCCTTTAAGGGTCAGTACCCGAAATCGACGGTCCAAGTTCCTACTCGGAATCGACGGTCCAAGTACCTGCTGATCTCCAGTCTACCCATTGCACGTTCTCAGCCCTTATAATTTATGGCATCTGTTAGTGACCGAGTGAATCCCAAAAATACCCCTTAACACAATTGAGAGATTTTCTGGTTATTTAAACCTTCATTCTTTAGGTATGAAGTATATTGCACTTACCTCCAATACTGTAGGGTACAAATTGTTCATGTGAATTTTATTAATAAAAAGTCTATAATACCCCTATTATCTTATTCATATATTTTTTTAAATGAATAAAATATAAAAAAGTTAAAAATATGACTCATTACAATTATAAGTTCAAAAAATCATCAAAGTTAAAACCCAAGTGAATTAACATAAATTTAAAACATCTGGCTTTTTACTTTCTTTTTTATATTTCATTCATTCCTAATTATATGTGAATAAGAAAATAGGGGTGTTATAGACTTTTCATTGAAAAATCTTACTTGACTGGAATTGTTCGTATCTCATGGTGTTGGAAGTAAGTACATTATACTCCAAACTTTAAGAACAAGTGTAAATAACTCAAGATTTTCTCAAATTTGTCACAAGAATTGAAAAGACTAAAATGCCTCTAATGTTAACAAAAAGGTAACCGTTTCCTGCCTATTTAAACACCTAATTCCACAAAAGCAAGAATTTCTTCCCAGAACAATTAAAACCTATTGCTTTATTTTGATCTTGTATAGAAAGGTTGAAACGAAGGAATGCTCTGTGAAAGGGGAAAACTTATCAAATTAAAGTAAAAATAAAAACAAGAATCTCGTTAGTAGCCCAACTCCTAAAACCCTAAATAATCAAAATCACAAAGTATCAAAACTAACTAATTAACAAAACAATGAACACATAAACGCACTTTAATTTGGTTACCTAATTACTCATAAAACCCTAAAAACTGAGAAAATAGGCCATGTAAGAATTCGTAGATGTGTCTTTTTTTCATTGGTCAGATGCACATGTAAATGTATCATGCCTCACATATGATAACGTGTTAGCCTTGACACAATGGTTTTCATGCGTCCAAATTCAGGTACATGATGATACAAGTTTACAGCAATTTCATAAAAATAAAGATGAGTAGTTTCGAAACTACCACAAGGGCTTGGTTGTTGAGAAAGTGGTTGAAACAGAAATAGAAACAGACATTTAGGAGCAACGTATAAGTTGTTCTGGTGATGCTTTTGAGGACTCTTTAGACCTCTATGTGTAAAGTGACCTTTTACCAATTAGTTAAGCAAATAATATCTTTCCTCAGAAGCCACCATCTCCAAAGGGCCCCAACCCACAAGAATTAAGAAATACATTAAGGGCTATAAGGATAAAAACACTTTCATTGCTGCAGGTTTCAATGCATTTGTGCTTTTGTTTTGTCTTATTTTATGGCATTTGGTTAGGTATTATCAATCCCTAATGCTAAACTAGATTTGCTGTCTGAGTATTAGATTAGTTAACAAAGTAGAAATGGTAAATCAAATAAGACTCATCCGTGGGTGCTTAGATGGTTAGGATGAATTGGGGATGATGTGGATAGACATACAGTCTCAAGTTTGATTCCCTATCTGGGCATCCTGATTCAAGTGGGGGGTCATAGCGATGGGTTACTGCACTAATCTTCTTCCAGGATTAGTCGTGATATGAGTAAGCTGACTCGGACATCTTGGTTAAAAAAAAAAAAATGTTTATCAAATAAGTTTCAATGATTGATTGAAGAAACAAAAAATAAAAAACTAATTTACTGGTTTATTAAGCAATCAAATCAAATTAGGTCTACCTAAGTAGATACCTAATGGGACTTATATTGGGGACTCATTGAATAATTGACTAGAACTCATATAATGAATTGAAATTAAACTTCACAATACAGGGCAATTGAAATCAACTCTTGGATGACTGAGTGGTCAAATAGGAACTCTTAGATGTATTATTCAAGAGATCCTGAATTCAATTTCCCTCGGCCTTTATTACGGTCATTAAAGGATTACCCGGTCGTCCAAGTTGGCGCGAACACCCTGGTCACCAAAAAAAATAATTTTATATTTCCAATAACATATAAGAAGAATGTGCTTTCTTTCTTTCGGTACACCCCGTAATCATGTACGCAAGCACAGGAGATAGTATCTCTCATCTACAATTCACAAAAGTAGTGAAGGGTAACAGTATCACATGAGGTGTTGACTGTTGCAGATAAACTCTACATGATGTTTCCTTAACTTCTCCGCTCAGGAAACCCTGCAATTAAATTAAACAAAAAAAAAAAAAAAAAAAAAAAAAACCTTTTTAAAAGTACTTCCAAATCCATTAATCAAGACATTTGGCACTCAACTCATCGTTTATTGGCTCTTCTTTGTACTCCATCTGTAGTGTTAAACACATATAACCAAAACCCCGTTATTATTTTATTTATCAAAGATATTAATCAATCAACTAGACGCTTTTCTCCATATTTATCTCCATAATCTATCCCGCAATCTTTGATATAATCCACAGTTAATGTACTTATCGTCTTAGTTAATGAAACTCAGAAGCTACATTGTTATTTACTAAAATGCTTGTTCTTTGAATGTGAATGTTCTGAGTTTACTGGGTTATTTT